AATTGGCTCGATCCTCTGTGCGATGTGTCCGACTCATTAAGTTGCAAGAAAAATTGAATAGAGCTATTCATGTCCGTTTTAGCGCAATAGCGCTTAAAAGATGTTTTTTTTTTCAAAAAAATATCCGTGAAAACAATAAAATGGTTCAGACACGTTTTTCAAGAACTAGGGAAAATTTCATATATCTTAAAAACATCTTTGAACCGTTCAAGGAGCCAAGCTTAGTATGACGTTCGTGCGTTTACAAAATATTTTTAAAATTCACATTTTTTACTTTTTTTAAAAAAAAATATTTAAACTTTGAAAGTCATTAAAGGTTGTAAAGTCATTATTTCAATCATTTTATTCGTAGAGCATTTCTAGACAATTTTATGAACATTTTTTGAAATATTTAGGCAAGTGTATTCGTCTGGTTATCTTAATGACAAATGGGTAAATATCTTCGTGAAAAGAAACTAGGCACATATAAATTATTTCAAAGGGAACTTTGAACATCAGATTTGCATTTTTCATAGTTCTTTCGCATTTAATTCATTTGCACATGGTTCTTCTAAGCATTTATACGTCAAATGAAAGTAGACCGATCACTGGCTCGTGATTGCTCACCATGAATTGTGAGCAAGAGGAAAACAAAAAAAGAAAACAATTTTAAAAATGATCGGTATTTATCGAATATTTTGTCAAAAAAACTTGATTAAAACATTAGCACAATCTGAAAACCATGTGATGGACCTTAGCAGGTTTACATAAAGCTCGTTCAAATTATCCTTGCAAAACTTCCAGTGACCTCAAAATGTCGAAATCGTGTCCGAATTCAACTGAAACCTGCGTAAAGTATCGACCGAAGGCGATTCAGTGACTGAATCCATCCCATTGTTTTCAGATTGTGCATATGTTTTTTTCTACTTTTTTGAAAGGAAACTATACTCGTAAGCGCCATTCTTCCCATAATTTGTCTATAGAAGTAAAAACCATACCTTATAATCGATTGTCATAGGTTTAGTCTCCCGAAGGAAAATGTGGGATGAAACATTTTCACAACACACGATGCACTATAGCAGGGGTTACAATTTTACAAAATTGTACTGAGAAATTTGTCCCTCATAAATAAACTACGACATGAATTATCATTAAATCAACCGAAATCCTCTTTAATGCGACGGTATATTTCTTAGAAACAATTGTAACACCGTCAAGAACAAATAGATCTCATGTTGTTTTGACGAGAAATCCTGTCGCACCACATCGTCGCTCATTTGACGTAAAGGAGTAATTCACTTTCAAGGTGGGCCCTGTTTAACATATAAACCCATACTTTCTAGGACCCAGGAGAAAATCGAGTTACGCTCCCACGTCAGAGGAGCGACGATATGTAGGTAACCGGAAGCTTGTAGATAAACGGAAAATTTTTCTCAGTGTGCAGTCCCCTCAATCTAACGACTTCAACCAGTGCTTTTAATAGGTCTCTATTTTTTCAACTAACACCTAAAGAGCATTTCGTTTCAAAAGTTTCAGAATATATACTTTTCACGACAGGGCCGGATTAAGGAGGTGGCCACATGGGCCGCGGCCCATGGCGGCAAATCTATAGGAGGCGGCAAATTTTGCAATTTATTTAAATATAGGTATAAAAAAATTCGGATTTAGAAAAAAAAATTACAAACGAGAAAAGGCGACAAAATCTCTAATTTTCTGAGAGTATGGTAACTTCTACTTTTGTCGTCTTTCGGTGATACAAGAGACAGCACCTTTAATTAGTCGAGTTAAGAGAGAAACCAAACACGCAATTTGGCCTGGAACTGGACTTATTACCTAGAGAGAAATGATGACGAGGACTTGAGATGAAAAGGAGAAGCGTTCGGCGCGGCGATCGGCATGTAACACATATTTGCGCCTACAAGACTGCACGAATACTTCACGCATTGCATCAAACACGGTGCGGTCATTGCGGACAGCGTGAAACGGATAGCGCCTACAAGAATGCATGAATACCTCACGCATTGCGGCAAACACAGTGCGATCAGCGTGAGACGCATAGCGCCTACAAGACTGCGTGAATACTTCACGCATTGTGTCAAACACAGTGCGGTCTGCGAGGCGCGGCGGCGGAAGTTAAAATCATTAATCCACATTTATGTTTGTTCTTTCATAATTTTTTCGTTCATTTATTATGCATGGAAGGCCTTGTCTACACAGAGATAGGTTTACGAAACTTAACGTTCGCGCAAAGTTCCGTGAACTTTTGCTAGTAGCGTTGACAGGGCTCTCCCAAAAAATGTGTTCAACACCAGTAGACGCGTCTTATGCGCCCCTCCTCCGCTGGCACGCTCATTCGATGGGTTTTATTGATGTTTCAAAACGAATGAGAAGGGGGCGGCAAAATACTAGCGGCCCATGGGCGGCAAGTAGGTAAATCCGGCCCTGTTTCACAACCGAGAAGAAATTCTAAATAGTTGCAATCCGAAGCGTGGCTTTATTTTGGAGTAAGAAAATAAAACACATGATGAGACTTGGAAATGCGAAATGCAGTTAGGCCAGTTTACTTGGGACTATACCGGTAGAAATGACGGTCAATGTAGATGCGTTGATCAGTGCGATTTTGTCGCGTCTAGGGTGAGATATTTCACATAGGGCTCTTTTAAGGGCTCGGATGAAGACCACATTTCTTCCTCTGCGTATTTTATCTTTCGTTCCTGATTTATACATTGCCTTCTTATTTTCCTGCTTCCTTTTGTGGCTCCGTTTATGCACCCAAACACGATTTTCTGTGGTCCAAGGAAGGATATATTTAGCCAACTATCTATTTACCCTTTCGAAACCTCTCCTGGGCTGGGCGAAATAAACGCTCAATACGTGTGTCACAAGTAGACGTATATCTGCCAAAAGGAACTACATATAAGTCTGAAAAATGGGGTGCGCTCTAGCAAGCTGCATAAGAAACAATGTGAAAGTGGGCGTAGTTTCCTTTAGAGAAATGAAAAGGGAGATTTTACATTAAATCAAACGGAATTACGGGCCAACTGAATGCGACACTCATGAGCCATGGGCATGCGACTAGAGCGTTGTGGACAGGGCTCATGAGTTAATGACTCAGGATGTCGACCCCGATACCGAATCTGTCACCGCTGACGTCACTGGCGCTTTATAATTCCCATTCATGGTTACAGCCCTTGACTAACAAGCACACCCCTCCTTTCCGTTTGACAGAAATACGTCCACGTAGTGAGTTCCGTTTGGAAAATTTTGATGTTTTGCCCTCCTCCCTGGCCCCTCCTAGGAGGGTGGGGGTTGTAGCCCCACGACTTCCAAAGTTTTCCCCCTCCATAATTTGAAAAACAGTCCTAACCAGAACATGTTACCTCAAGAATTGACAAAAAGTATGGTGTATCAAGCGTATCCAGGTACACAAAGATGTACGGAAATCTGAAAATGAGCCATTTTAGTCCTGAAAGCAGGATATCTTCTTGACTACATATCTCTTGTCTCCTCGGCTTCATGACCAAATCAGTCGTATAACACTTTTTCGGAAAATGAGCGGAATCCATGAGTACACACAGGGCGGTATTTGACGTGGAAGTTTTGATCGCGGCATTTTTGAAGCTCGAGATGGGATTTTTCTCTCGAGATTCCCAGGCCAGGTAGTTCTGCGAAATAAATTGCGCTGCTTTTCTTCCGAAGTCGAGTAAATAGAACAACATTGGTTGCAAGTCTGCAATAAAATAAAAATTAATTAAAAGAATAATAAAAAATATGCCGGCTTCATACTGTCGAAATGAAAGCTAGCGCTTAAAAAAAAGAATTAAAAAATAATGAAGATAATTGACTGAAAAATGTGAGTGTATCATAATATCTCCCAAACTATTTGGTTGGTAGAAACCGACACTTTGATTCATTATAGTCGATTTTACGTATTTGTAACCTAATTTTCAGCTCATAATAACCAAACTCTTGATTCATGTAGTGAAACTTCCATCGAGGATTCTGCTGATTGTCTTTTTCCTTCTCGGCAATCCTCCCAAGGCAAGCTCTATACATCCTTAAGAAAAATGAATGGCTTTTTATTTTATTAGTATTTTGATAATTATCAACCGTGATGACTGGAATAGAAAAATAGAGGTAGCAATGCCACCTAATACCATGACACTGTTATATCAGAGTTTGACATCACTCACTGTGAGGCTTTTGAAGACAAAAGAAGATACAAATCTTTAAATGGGTGACTATTACCGCACGTGGGATAATTTCTGGCCTACATTGTTAATTGAAGGCGAAATGTCATTGTGCGTAACCTCTATCGTCTTCCGTGTCGCTTTTTCTTCGTCTAAATTCAGTTAGAAAACGTCATCGATGGTTACTAGATGGCTATCTTGATGGCTATTTAGGTACTTAGAGTGCCAAAAAGTACCTGCTACTTATTTGTTTATATTTTCAAAAAAATTTCCGAAGACGTAAATAAATAACTTGCAAATACACGATTCGTGGAGGGGCGTGCTAATTTGACTTTTATTTGTTCCTTTGTTGATTTCCGACTGGTCTAAGAATCATGTGACATAAATCATGTATTTTTAAGTTTGTCTTACCTTAATTGCTCTTTGTAACAGCTATTTTCGCAATCTTTTTACGTTTAAGCAAAGAAAGTATCATTTTTTTGCGGATTGCGGATTCCTTGAATGATCTTGCAATTATAACTTTGATCACATCCCTTTTAACATCCTTATTTCGAGACGATCTCATGCTGACAACGGGATGTAGATGTAAATGAAACTGCGTGACCCGTATGAGGAGAATCCTTTTCCCCGGATAGTTATTTTGTTAGACTTTTTCACGTGCCCTTAGGTCAATCAGTGGTTTTAAATTTTTCTCATGATTTAAATTAAATGACTGGCAACAGTCAGCGATTTCTTTGAATTAAAGAGGTTAAATTAAGTGGTTAAAAAATGAACGATTCTCTGTTACATCATGAGACAGATTACGTTCCTTTTAAATTTGAGATTGTAAAGGAACTTGACCCGGATCCCGGATGCATTATTCTGTTTTCACACCTCGCCGATGAATCCAATGTTCGTCGAAATTAAAACATTTGACAGTTTTCTTTTCGTAGAAAACCTAAAAATTATTCGCGGAGTCAAGTCCGTTCGTCTGAACTTGTTTTTCATGAATACTGACCATTATACGATCAGTGTAGTTACTACGCTACGCGAGGTTTCTTGAATTTTTTTCATAAATCAACTCGAGAGGATTAAATTTTCTGTTATTTTTTTCTTTTCTTTTCTTTTTTTTGTGACTTACAATATTGGAGTCCTGAGAGCATTACAAGGAGGAAGACGAAAATATCTTTTAAGAAATCGCGGAAATGTGTGAGTAATGTAGTAACTTTTTGGTTGCATTCAACTTTTTTTTGTTTTGTTTTTTTTTGTGCTCATTTCGTTTTGCAAGAAGATAACGCTGATTCTGAAAAGAGCGCGGCTGAAACTGACACAATGACGCCCCTCCTCTATCGCGTAGACAGCGAATGAATCTCACATGCGCAATAACGCAAGGTCGATGAGCAAATTGTATTTGCAAATCTTGTCAACTTTGAAAAAAAATGTCAGTTTTGGATGAAGCTTTGTGAGTTCTTAAAATCAGTTCTGAATGGAAGTCTCTTTGAATCAACTCTACGTATGCTCGGATGATGCTGAAACGGGATAGGGGATGAGGGTGCAACTTACATCGTAAAAACCGCTAGTTTTGAGTTTCTCTGCAATCGGATAATATACTTTAAAATTCTTTGAAGTTATCAGAATGAAAGTAATTTATATGGAATTCGTAAAAGTAGTGATCTAAATATTAGTAATAGTAGTATTAGCAGTGTAGCAATTGATCAGTAGTTTTTCTATTTGCAAAACTCATCTAATTTGTAGGAAAACGAGAGTTATGAGAGAACAGCCAGTGCTCAAAATTGACATTATTTTAAGCGGAACTGTAATAGCATTATTATCAGGAAGAACAGGCTGTATTGGTGCCCTACAACACAATCTCAAAGCTTTGAAAGAGGTAGTCCTACCTAAAGAATAAAGCCCTTTATACGCGGTTGAAAGTGAAAGTCGTCAATTTTCAATATAATGCGAACGATTTTAACGACTCGTTTGGACAAGCGTTGAAATAAGTTTTGCGAAAAGCACAGAATTCCGAGGAAAATGTCCACTCAACTTAACTTAAAGCCCATTTTTTCAAAACTTCAATTTTGAATCACTACTGCTTTCGGTTGCACAGCAGGATATAACTGGACGAAGGATGTCATCTTGCCTATCTCGTAAATTGAAGGCTGAACAGCAATGTGTGTAACCTCCATTTGGACGTATTTCTGCCGAACGGGACTATGTGCATCGAGCCATGATCCCTGAGACCCATAAGATTATTTGCATAACAGGGCTCATGTCATAATGCATATAGTGCCGTTTGGCAGAAATGCGTCCATTTCAGAGTTTCATGAGAGGCCTTAAACCGATGAGCCAATCACTGAGCGGCACAGACATAGCAATACTTTCTAGCAAGCCAATCATTTGTTATTTTCATAGCACCAGAATGAAAATAGATTAAGAAATTATTCACGAATCAATCTCATTTTATTTTATTGCAATATCTGTGGTTAGGTTTTGATCAGTTTTGTTGATGTTGTTGTTTTTGGATGACAGACATCGCGTTCGTTTGGGTGCACATTTTTGTGACGCCATGGCCAACCAGAATTGAGTTGTCTTAACTCTATGGGTATAAAGGGACTCTAACCAAATCCACTCGCTGAAATTAGAATATGGGCACTCTAATTCTCTGAGGACCCAGAAAACAGAGGCTTCTCGTCAATGTGGCAACAGATCAGGGATCAAAAGTCTCCGGTCTAGACAAGCTCAAGCCAGACAAGGGCCCAAAGCGACTCTCTTGGATGTCCCCTATTTTGTGACGAGAATTTGACTGTATTTACTGATATTTGATACCATGCTCACTTGTAAGATCGCAGGCGGCAAGTTCACTTGCAGGCAGGCATAATAAAATGAGGGGCTTTTAGAGGACACGGCGCATAAATGCAGTTTTTGCTATTTCGAGAAATACGTGTTTGAAATTTCGAAATTTCATGAATCCTTATGGTGGAAACAAAGTTCAAACTGACTTTTTGATGCATAAAAATTGGAATTTGGAAGAGCGTTTTTCACAGAATCTGCATTAAACTAGTTTTACTTGATACCATTAATATCTCAATTTTTTGAAAAAAACTGCACTTGTGCGCCTTGTCCTCCAAGCCCCTCAAATAGTTCGTTTTTCCACATGGAGGTCCGTATAAGTAGTGTACATTTTGATGAATGGATGCGTAAGGACGTCTTGAAAGTAGCATCATAAAATGGACAATTTTTTAGAGAGGACAATTCATCAGGGTTGTATTGCAGAAATAGATTCTCTGGAGAGATTATAATGATTTTTCACCGCAAAAATATAAGATACAAGAGGAGACTCTGTCAGTCAGACAAACTTCCAAACATTAAATATGAAAAATCTGCGGGATATATTTTCTTATATATCTTATATTTCTTGCAGTGACGAATCATTGTAAGTCCTGGTGAAGATTTACTTCAAAAAATCGATGAATTTTGTTCAGCAAAAATTTTACATTTTATGACGCTATACGTTTAAGGCGCCCTTTAGCGCCCCTAAATCAGGAAGTAAACCATGTGCTGCCGTGCTGAGGAAGAACGAACATTCGGGAATTGCGAAATTTCCTGCAATAAAATGTTTATTTGGACGTAGTTCTACCAAAGAGACCTATGTGGAAGTGAGAAATATGGGGTGTGCTCGTTAGTTTTCTTGCGTAAGAGTTAATGAGAATAATAAAGCGCCAGTGACGTCAGCGGTGACGACGGGTATCCTCACGAAGGCGGGGACGTTCTTTAACTCATGAGCCCTGTTCACAACGCTCTTTTGCCATGCCCGCGGCTCATGACTCCCGCGTTCAGTTGGCACATAGGTCTGTTTGATAGAATGCAATATCCCGCTTTTCCAATTCTTCAAAAGGAACCACGCCCACTTTTACATTGCTTCTTATGCAGATTTCTGGAGCATACCCCATATTTCTCACCGCCACATAGGTCTGTTTGGTAGAAATACGTCCATTTATGAGGAGACTCATGAATATTTTTCCTTGAAATTTTCAGACTTTTTGAATCAAATTACGAGCAAAATTATCCCAGAAATTGGAAGAAAAACATTCACAAATTTTCCTGAAAATTAGTAATTTGTCGAAGGACATTTGGCAACGCCTGAAGGTTCATACGGCGTTCATCCTATGTACAGCAGTGTAGGCCTATTGAAGGACGCTCTGTCCTTAAGGGACAGAGTTGTTTGAGGGACAAGTATACGACCCTAGACCTGTGCGAATAAAGATGAATGTAAGTGGTTTCTGGATTATCCTGCGATTCCTGAAATTTTTCGAATTTTTATTTTCAGGTCTCCTGAGATCTCTCATGTATCCTATGTGCAGTCAAGTTTCCAGATTGACTCTCCTAGGAATCAAATCCAAGTCTCCTGTATCAAGTTTTCTTAAGTCTCCTGGCATCAAGTCTCCTGCATCGAGTCTCCTGCATCGAGTCTCCTGCATCAAGTCTCCTGTGTCAAGTCTCCTGTGTCAAGTCTATTGTACGGACTGTAATTACCGTAAGGATTTTGGTATTTCTTGTTTTAATTATTTTTTGGCGCGTATTGTTTGTAAAAAAAGGAAAAGAAGACAAAAGAAAAAAGGAAAACGAAGAAAGAATAAAAAAGAAAACTTCTTTGAAACATTGCCATCTTTCTGACCATCCCCCAATTTTTCTTTATCTGTCTAGGTTTATCTTTATGTCTCTACCATTTCCCCCCGTTTCATTTTTACGGGGGAGATAGAATTTCTTCATAATCTTAGTGCTTTTGCTGGAAGATTCCTTCCACTAATTGAAAAGCAAGGTGTTTGTATCTTGAAGCTCGATTTTTTACTCTCGTTTAACTCGAATTCCCTCACATATATTCACTGGAGAGTCAAGAAGAGCCGCTGGAGTCACTGGAGTCGTTTGCTTGCAGAATATTTTCATACAATCAGCGATCAGGAAAAAAGAGGAAGCAATTGGAATATGTTTACAATCAGAATTACTAAATGATACCATCTTATTATTTGATTATCGGAAGTTTTGTAATCAATTTGATGATACCAAATCAAAGAATGCCCGGTATTATGTTTTGAACAACATTTTTGGGGGTGTACTTAGTTATCATAGTTGGTCTTATCAATTTGGTTTGCATTGTACTTGCATGTAAATCGATTTTTAGAAGAATCACACTGAACTGTCACACATATTTTGTGAGCGTTAAACGTGAAAATATTGTGAACGCATGGAAATCAAATCAGAACGCAAGCATAGTCCGTTAAAAATTTTGAATGAGGGTGTGTTTGTATGCGTGTGTTGTTATATTTTTCTTTCCAATAATCTCTCAATTTCTGAATTTTGTGAAATTTGTAAAACGTCTATCATAAAAACAAATTTCAGACTGAATCCAATTGAACACATAATAAATATAATTAAGTTACTCCATTTGTTGTTTGAATTATTTTTTCTTGAATCCAAAATTCATATAGATTAAAATTTTTACCGAAAAAATTGAAATCTTAATGCTTAAAGATTTAGAAAAACTTTCCATTGTTTAATGATGTATGTATATGACCTTTGAAAGCACTATTAATATGATATCATCACACCAAAGCTTTGTGTCGAGATAGTGGGAATGTTTCCATGCATATTATGCCTTAAAATACGAAACTGGACCTCAAATAACGAAATTTTTTAAATTCGTCCGTTTACTTTAAAAAAACGCTCAAACGCCAATTCTTCGCCAAAATTTTCTTTCAGTCTTTCATCGTAATAATATATCAAGGGTTGATAGTGGCGTGGCGTGAATGATCGATTATAGATATTTCTCCATTTGAAGCCATGGTAAAGAATCGATTATCAAGGTGTTCGCTGCGAACACCTCGTTAATCGAAATAGCTTCAAATGGGGAAATATCGATAATCGATTGGTCACGCCTCGCCACTGGGGCGCACCGGTTACCAAATTGATCTCCTTGGTAAAATTGAAGCACAAATCACATTTCTGATCTCTGAACAGATCATTAAGCTTACTCGCTGAATTTAGACCTCAAAAAAGTAGAGAGTACCTAGTGTGGAACTTGATGATTCTGAAAATCAACAAAAGCGCCCGCATTTCTGCGGTTAGTTAATTTGTGTGGCACCGTCTGATCGAGCGCGTTACACGGAGACGCGAGTAACGCCAATTGCCCACATCGTTGTTCTAAGGCGCAGCATCTGTCTTCGCCTGGGCATCAGTGGCGAGGCGTGAATGGTCGATTAATGATAATCCTCCATTTAAAGGAGTAGTAAAGAATCGATTATTAAGGTGCTCGTTGCAAACACCCTGTGTATCGATCCTTTTCGTTAGATTTAAATTGCAGATCAATCGATGTATCACAAAGCACGCCACGCCACTGCTGGGCGTCTTAAATCGTGAGGCTTTCAAATTACTTGTTTTTGGTCTGCGCATTCAGCTTTCCTGGCTGCTTACTTCTAATCATTAGCGGATCCAGCAAATTGGCAACGTTGCTTTTCTCCATTTAAACCTCTGGAAATGTATCGATTCTTAGAGGGGGCAAGTGCTCCGACAAGAATCGATTATTTAACATAGCTTTAAATGGAGAAAATCCGGTGTTGCCAAAGTGCTGGATCCGCCTCTGGTTCTAATAAGTTAAAATTATCCGCTTTTGCCGTAAAAAGTTGTGATGCCAGATATCTTGAGAAAATCTGTCAATTTAGGTAAAGTTTGTTCAAAAGAAGCATAATGCGATGTTCGATATTCATGAAAATGGGATTTATGAAAAAGTAAAATAAAAAATTGACGATAATGAGTTGAACGTGATGAAGATGAGCTTATTTCTATTATCCATTTATTCTTATCTTTAGAACCTCCGTTCTTCTCCTTTTATTTTTTTGAAAGTTCGAAAGAATATTGGGAAAAAGGAAAAACATTAAAACATGAACTTCGTGCAAGACGAAGTGAACAAAGCATGGAAATTAAAAAATTAAAATAATAGGTGAAATGTAAAGTAATAATCAGCAAGATAAGTGGAAAAAGAAAAAAATTTAAAATAAGAGGATAAAAAATATAAGGTTTAATTAAAAAAAGGAAATAAAGTGAAATGAAAGTAGAAAAACGATTCAATCAAAGAAAAATGTAAGGTTGGATAATTTTTTATTAAAAAAAAAAATCAAAGGTAAATGAAAAAATATTTTTTTTTTAAAAAAAAAAGCAAAGGTGAATGAAAAAAGATTTTTTTTAAAAAAAGCTCAAAGGTAAATAAAAAAATATTTTTTTTTTAAAAAAAGAATAAAAATAAGAGGTTCAAATAAAAATAAGTAACAACAAGATAAAAAAACGACACAAATTGTGTACGGAGCGAGCGAACGAAATAAACCCGACCCAAAATGTATTCCGTCCCCAAGGAACCGCAACCTCAGCCGGCACTCACTCGGCGCGACGCTGGGACGGGCTCAGCGCAACACCGCGAGGGAAGCCGTCGAAATCGTCGACAAAAAGTGTCCTTTTTCCAAAAACGACGAAAAAAATATCGACCGCGCGCGGAAGACGGCGTAACATAAAACGCAGACCAGGGCGAGACGAGTTGTCCGCGTGACGCAACGCGAGCGAGGACGGGTGAGGGGGTGATGACGAAGCAGAAGGGACTGACGGAAAGGTTAACGGATCATAAAAAATCGTTACATAACTCGCTACCCGCTTTTCGGTTTCAAAAAAGGAGCTAGAACGCGAGGGAAAAACCTCGAAGCGGCGTCGCCGATTTTGGCGATGGCTCGTGATGTTGTGTTATCAATTTAGGGGTTGTTTTCGGGGGAGAGGCAACCCTGTGATGATGATAACGGCCAGCAGCGGGCACGCGGGGCGGAGGGCGGTCCCGTCCCGTCGGTGCACGAAAGTTTTCGCCCCGCGGGGGATAATGCCACGTTGCCAAGTGGGAAGAGTCGAAAATTTGGGGTCATGGATATTTCGGTCGCGTTTTGAAATTTCTGGTCTGGAGGTGAATTGACGACGAGTAGATTTTTTTCAAAATTCGTTGTTTCAAAAATTAAGGGTTTTTTTTTCATTTTGTTTTTATTTTCCTCTATTTTTCTTTGATTTATTAATCTGAACCACTCAATAACGAAAAAGCACCAAAAGCAAGGGAGAAAGGATGAATTTTAATGGAGTATTTGTTTTTCGATGTGATTATCTAACGTTACTTTGTATATTTAATGAAATTGATTTAGTTTTTCTTTTAAATCATGTAGATGGGTACAAGATATATTCTTGTAGTAGCTTCGTTTTACTTAAATAAATTTCTTTTCTTAAAAAAAAGAAGAGAAAGAAAAAGAAATTGTCTTTACTTATACTGAACGCACACAATTTTGACTTTTTTCAGTGCACATTAAAATTGACAGTAGTTTTACTGTAACTTTAGTAAAATAATGTAATCAAACGGTGTAAGATATCGTATATTTTTGTTAACGTGCTGTGCCTTTTTGGAGTATAACCATTTATTTATTGTAATAATACGCACTCGTACATCAAACCCCCTCTTGTTATTTCAATCTTAACTTTCTTGATCAATATTTTATTTTCTCTCGTTCGTTGGTGTCCTCACAAATTTTTTATCACATTTTCATTTATTTTTTTTTACCACGGTTCTCGTGCAGTTTAGCCGTCGAGTGGCCTCTCTACAATTTATCAGGTAAACCCTACAGCTCAGCAATACCTGCGGTGGCTAAACATATGGTAAATATCCACTACATGACATCACGAACCGACGAAGGGAAAATTTTCACCCCCATTTTACTTCTCAGCACACACCCATATCTCTGGGTGTAAAATTATGACTCATGCTGGCTCAAAATGGGGGAGCGATTTAATGGCACAGGAAGCTGGATTCGGTTTTATTAAAGTTCAACTTTGAAAGATGACGCATCGAGCGTATGAGGCACGATTCTCTACGTCAGTTACTTTTCAAATTTTTTTTTTAATAATCAGAAAACTCAAAATGGATCCAAACGATTTTCTTATTTTTACATTTTTAAATTATACAAAAAATTATGTCTGAATTTCAATTGAAATAATAGGTAGATATATTCAAACAATGTCTGAGGTATAGACTTGCTGCACGGACAAAAAATTTCCGAAGCGCTATCAGAACGTCTTGATACCAGTGGCGTGGCGTGATTTGCGATAGGTCGATTAGTCTGTCATTTAGCCCCGTGGAAAAGGATCGATAGACAGGGTGTTCGCAAAAAAACCTCAATAATCCTTTCATTACCATAGCTTCAAATGAGGATATATCGACACACGCAGAGCATGCCACGCCACTGCTTGATAATAGCTTCCTTTCCGGTTTTCTTTTTGAGAGAACCAAAATTTTCATTTCCTAATGAGATCCTGGCTATCGTAACAAAAATCCCAATTGGAAAAACTGGAATTTTGGGTGTCTAAAATTGGAAACTGATATGCCAATCAATTACTAAGGTGGAAATTTTTTTCCTCTGTGTTGCTTTTTATTCTTGGAAGAGAACCGTAATTTCTATGGAAAGAATTGGTGTAACAAGTTCAGATCTGCACTCTTCATTTTCCTGTTTTCGATTTTTTCTGAAATCCTGTTGCACATGAAAATCTCATCAAGTTACGCTCGATGTTCACGTTTGAAGGAAATATTGGATGATTGAAAATTTTCTTTTCAATTTTTGATATAGTTCAGTCACTACAAAATAGCAATTCATACCCAAAATATTGCGGAGGTTAAGCATGATTTCAGTCGAAGTTGGCTTCAATGGTCATACTTTTTTCAAATGAACGGAAACGAAACCACACGAATGATTTTTTTTGTGAGGAGAGTCACATTTAAAATCGGCTGTAGAACTACATGAAAAAACAAAGGGGAAAAAATGAGAAAAAAGGCTAAAAATATATTCTGTTTAGCCTTGTTTCCCGTTTCTCCCCTTGTTTTTTCATGTTACCACTGTCACAGGCTGCTGTGTAAAAATGTGTAATATAAAAAGGACTGATAAAGGAACCTTGATGCTCATACTTGTTTTATTTTACTTGCATATAGTACATGCAGAGGTGATAGGAGCCAAAGCTTTTCGAACGTCTATTGTTCATCATCAGGGGCTAGTGCATTCAAATTTGTATCTGTAAAACTACGAGGTCATATAGGTATCCTGTTTAATTGTGCTAGTGAGTTATACTAGCGACTTTTATATGATGTTTCTTGAACCCAATGTCCGTGTCCTTGTAGTAAACCTGAGGAGGACAGTATAAGCAAAACAGAGAGTTGAATACTCAACCCCCTGTCATACGAGGTTGGATCGAGAAAACTTTCAGGAATGACCAACTGTACACTCGAAAAAGCAATTCAAACTATAATGTCTCTATATATTTTCAGAGTTTTGCCACTGGAGCAGCTCTGATATCATGCCAAAATGTTCCTCGTG